AACTTTTTCTTTGAAGAGGAAAAAAAAAAGAAAACAGAGAAAAAAAAAAAAAAAAAACAATGTGACAAAGCAAAACAGTCAGTTAGAACAGAAGGATGGACATAGTATATAATGCAAAAGAGATTACTAGGTGATCAACAATGGTTACCATTATGCCTCTTGGTATCCTAAAAAGAGTTACCTATATCAGCTGGTACAAAAGAATTGAACAAAACAGTACAGAACAAGACCAATAAAACCCACATTGGGGACCTTACAGGACTTCCAAAAAAGATAATAGTCAAACCATAATGGGCATCATAGAATATCTGGTTGCCTTCAAAGTGGTTGCCTATACCCTCAAATTTGATACTATTAAACAAAACAGAATATAATAAAATCAGTCATTACAAGATGTGGAGAACAATACAGGGGTTCAAATCAGGTTAATAGGAAAACAAAAAGAGTTACTATAATATATCCCGATATTTTTAACTTAGTTTTCCCTTAATTAAAAGATACTAAGAAATAAATTAATTTTAAAAAAAAAGAAAAAAGGGGGGAGATTGAGATAAAAAGAACATATCAATAGAACAACACCAGTCAGAACCGAACAATTTAAGCATCATTGTGTTTCACCACCACATAGCCTGACATTAATAGTAGTTACCATAGTGTCTCTTTCCTTGAAATATTTGAGCCTAACTTCATATACTATAGCACCAAACTTATCAAGACAGTGTGAAACCATTCAAGAGAATGAAAGTATTGCAGGGTATTTAGAACCAGCTAACAGAAACCGAACATCGGATTCTATATTATCTCTTTGCCTATCAAAAATTTTGCTTCCACTATTGCATACATTAAAATATAATAAGACACAACCTGTTAAAATCAATGGAAACAGACAAACAACAACTTGATGGGGCTTCAAAACAGGATGATATTAAATTGGAATGGTTTTAATCTGGGTTGTTTTATTTTATTGTCTGTGATACTACAAATAGCTATTTTGAAGAAAATAAGGCAGCGTAATAGCTAGTGCTGATTTAATATTCTGGACATTTTAATGCAACCTCATGACTAGAGGTTAACTTGACATGTAAAAAAGCAATTTAAGCCACAAATGTCAAACAGTTCTATCTACTACATTTAAAAATATCTAGATTAGAAATAAACAGCAAAATAAATGACAGATAAAAAGATAGGGTGGTAGTATTTTTACAAAAGGGGTCAAGAGACAGAAGGAAGGAGTATCAGGAGAATGGAAGAGGATAAAAAAGAACTAAGATGTGTTATGCACATGTACTTACTCCCCACAAGAAATGTATGCATTATATATACTGAAAACAAAATAATAAAAGTGAAAATTAAAGGAAGTGAATCTAAGGAAAGGGAGTCTACTACTTTTTACAGTACATTAACAACTCTCACTGTTGATCAATCACGTGTCACATCCCTTCATAAATCTTTTCTGCTGCAACATAAGGCCAGTTCCTTTTGTTGGGACCTCAGAGAGAATGGAGAACATCTGGCCACTGTAGCTGACATAAGAACCGCTTTTCAACTTAGACTACTAGTAAGTTACTTTTAACATTTTTCTCTACAAAATGAGTTCTCTGTCTCTCCCTGTGAGGTCTCATTACCAAGCCTTTAATCATTTTTTTCCTTTATTTTCCTCTCATATGTACATACTCATATGTGGGTACGTAGCATCAATATAACTGGAAACACTGTTCTTATATTTTTCTTAGAAAAAAATAAAACACTTCCTTCCTCTACCTCATCATTCCAACAATTCTCAAAAAAACAACACAATTCCTGCTGTTCCCACTGGAGCTTGTTGTGCAGTTTTTGAGTTAAGGAAAGCATTCGTGCAGTAACAGTACCAGCTACAGATAAAAGAGACAGTAAGTTAAATGTAAGAACAAAAAAGTGGTCATAAAGTGAATCCCTGAATTATAGCTGTTGAGGGAAACATGGCTGCAAAAACGCTTGTTTAGGGGTTGGTCTGTGAGAAGAAGCTTTATTGGCAGTGGTGTTAGGAAAGGAATGTGAACAGGCCTTTCTTTTCATGCCCCAACCGTGCATTGCCCCCATCTCAAAGCTGTTACACATTCATCTCACTCACTGTTCAGATTTCTCTAGGAAATGAGCAAGATATATAGACATACAAAGCTGATCCAAAAATACAGTGTGTGTTTAAAGTTTTAACAGTCGATTACAGTAAAAGACACACTGCCTGTAATATCCTCATGTACTCTCCCTTGCTTTGAACACATTTATCCCATCATTTTTACCACTTTATTAAATATTTTGGGATGTCCTCTTTGGTGAGAACCTCTACAAGGTGTCATAAAACTGAAAGCTGCTTCAAGTGCTCTCTGACAGAAAGGCAGAGTTGTCAAAATGCTATAGTGTGTCCTCATTAGCTGTATTCACTGGATCTAGTGCCATATAATTTCTGCCTCTTTTAAAATGTCAAAAAACCATAAAAGGTAAATATTTTGAAACTATTCTGTACATCAAGGCAGCCACAGCAGTGCAAGCAAAGATACTGATGAAAGAAGACTTTCAGAACTCTTTCAGAGAGTGGCAAGAATGACGGAGGAAATGAGTGGGAAGTGTGTAGTGGCAGGGAGGGTATTTTGAGGACAGATTAATGGCAATGTGTCGTTTATTATAATAAAAATTTTTATAAACATTCACTGTGGTGTTTTTTTACTCACACCTCTTATGTTTCTAAAGGCAAATAGGTGACCACTAAAGGGAAATGCATTTGATCAATGTCTCTTTTATCAAGCTCTCTATATAGGCAACTTAACCAATGAAGATTTTTCTATTTCAGGCATAGCCTCACAAAAATCTACTATCATGTACCAAATATTTCTCTCCACATTTTCTGCCAGCTGAGCCCATTAGAAATGTTCCTTCTCTGTGTGTTTCCACCATGGGAGTTGCTCAAGTCCCCCCTGTGCCTGAAATCATTTCATGATATAATCACTGACAAGGATTTATTTTTCATCTGTTTCTTGGTGATTCTAATAAGACCTCACTTTGACCTCAGTTTTTAAGCTTGCCAAAATTCCCTCTCTGTCATTTCCCTCCTTCTTTCTTTGTGTCTGTGCTAGAAAGATTAGAAAAACTAGTTGTGTTGGGTTAGTTAGCTTATTTATTTATTTATTTATTTATTCATTTACTTGCATCTTATCATCTTGAGATAGAGTCACTCACAAGCAAGTAACTTACAAAAAGGCAGGAAGCCAAAGAGTACCGGCTAGCAATCAAAAATCTAGGAATTTATTTCTAAATAATAGAGTTGGGCTTTTAGAGACAGAGGGCTTATATAAAGAAACTCCACATCAGGTCCTATGCTACTCCTTTTCTCCTAATATTGGGAAGATGATAACTGAATGCTTTCCTCAAATTTCATATGAGCTTCTCTCTTTTCACAAATGTTGCTCACTGAATTATCATTTGTCTTATGCTTTGTCAACTAGAAATCTTCAGCTCAATTTTCACCCTGGTTTGACAGGGAAAATTGGTTATCACCTTCAGTGATCAATTGGTTATCTAGGAGTCTTACCTCATACCTTTATTTGGTTAGAAACTACTTCTTCTGGCTTCTCTGGTAAAACATGAGTAAGCCTTATCAATGATAGAACAAGTGGTAAAGTACTCTCTCGTACATTTAGAAGATGGTTCCAATCCTGCAGTTGTGCCCTTTACCTTATGGATTCAGGCGGGAATAATGCTCCACTATAGCTATCCACTGAGTGGACCTGGCCAGCGTGGGAAGTGGGAGAAAATGGCACAGGTGAATTTGAAGCAACTCCTGCAGTATATATATATCCAGAGGAGGAGAAACTTGTACGAACCTCAAAGGAGGCAGGAGGTACCGTGGCTTATTAACTTTCTCAAAATAAAGGTTCTAAGCCTACAGGCCTTTTCAAAACACAGTATGTTTTCCAACCTCATCCTAGCAGATTCACTGAATTTGAATACATGACAATTTGCATTTAAAAATTAGCTTCAATTGGCTCTGAAAGGAACTTATGATTTAGGTGTACTATTTCAGTGGAAAAGAGTCCAGATTTAAGAATCAGATCTGAGACAGCCTCCAGAGATCTTATAAGTAATATGAAGTTGAATAAAATTATTTAAACCTCTGCATTTCATTTTTATTTATAAAATAGAAATGATGAAGCATAAAGTTCCAGTGAAATTTCATGTGATATACATAATGCTAGGGTAGATATAAATTCTTCCCCTTTTTAGTGTCCCCTCATAAATAACAGACAAGACTTGAAGCCATCCAAGAAGTGGATCATCACTCCTCTCCACTCACACCTCACAACCACTCTATGGGTGATTTTTCCTCACTCAATGGCTTCTTTCTGCTTTTAGTTTCTGACCACAAAGTGAAACCACTTGACAGTGTGCTTTGCAAGAAGAGATCTATAGTTAAACTATTTTAGGTTCTTCTGGGAATCATCTTGCTTGGCACATAGTAGGAATTCAAAACTATTTACTGAATGAATGCTTTGTTTTTATTTCCAGTCCTACTTTCCTCAACCCCTTATCCCCCATTTTATCACCATGACCCAAATTTAGGCAAGTCTAACAGGTCACTCACCACATCAGGAAACATATCCACTTTTACTTGTATAGACAAGTCAGAACAGAATAATCTCCCCTGTCACTGCAGAGACATGTGCTTCCTCTCCTCAAGTTACCAATTCCCCTGGGGAATCCAGCTAGCACTTAACCCTTAGGTCCTTAAGCCTTGTCAATACGAAATAGAAATCCAACCCAAATTCCTCTCAACTTCTGTGCAAACAGCAGACTATTAAATAAAAATATACCAGGCTTCCCTTGGGAAGAAAACAGCTTCTCTGAGCTCTGAGATGAAAGGACAGGAAGCCTTAGAAAGGAAGGGGGAAGGAGAGTTGAGCATAGGAGAGCAGAGCAGTTTCTTACTCGGCTGTTTCAATTACATTTGGCCCAAATTGCATATTTACCTTCTGAGTATGAAGGCTGACTGACTTATTCCCTCTCCAGGCTCAGATCGGAGAAAAAACTTCTCCTCCCAGCTTGTCAGGCAGAAATGGAAATCCCAGCTGCTCTTTGCAAGGATGCCTGAAAACCTTACTTTACCTTTAGAAGACAGGGGCGGAGTCCAGTATAATGGGAATTAACTCCAACCACGCTGGATGCTTCAAACTCAGCTTTGGACATGCAGGCACTTGAAGTAGAAACTAGCTTAACAAGTAGTTTCCACCTCTAATTTCATAGTTGCTAAATGAAATGGGGGGGGGGGGCACAGGCACCCTTGGCTTGAATTGCATATTTGCCTCATTTCCTTACCTGCTGCCAGAATCCCCACTCAGGAACAAGTTCTCCCTCTTTCTTCCAAAACAGTACATTGTCTCCACCAGAGATTAAAATAGCAGACCGACATGGCTGGAAACAACTGACAAGACACACACCTGAGTAGAGTAAGGCACTGTTCATATATAGTATACAGCTGAATGAAGAGAAATATGCCATTCTTCATAGAAATAAATTAATATTGCCAGACACATAGTAAGTGTGTGAGAGACACAGCTGAAAATTTTGACATACTGAAGAAAGAAATTGCAGGTTTTCTTTCCACTGCCACTTAAAAACAGTCTCCCTTAAAATTTTTCTAAGAAAGGAAACTGGAGTAAGAAACTAAATTAAAGAATAATGGGACATATTATAGTAACATTTTGTTGTTCTACTAACCTGACTTGAACCCCAGTATTGTTCTCCCCATCTTGTTCTGTCTGATTATTATATATTCTATTTTGTTTGATAGTATCAAGTTTGAGGGTATAGGCAATCACTTTGAAAGCAATAAGATATATTATGATGCCCAACATGGATTGACTATCATTCTTTTTTGAAGTCCTGTAAGGTCCTCAGTGTAGATTTTATTGGTTTTGTTCCGTATTGTTTTGATCAATTCTATTATACCTGATGATATAGACAACTCAATTTGAAAATAACAAGAGGCACAATGGTAACCACTTTTGATCACCTGGTATTCTATTTTTGCATCATGTGCTATGCCCACACTTCTGTTCTAACTGACTCTGTTTTGCTTAGTTACATTTGTTTTTATTCTCTTCAAAAAAGTAATAAGAACCATGAGAGTAATAAAACCCTAAAAGTCTAATTGTTACTGTAAAAAAGAGGAAAGTAAGGTGGACTAATGGATATAACCGCAGGTATGTTCGAGAGTGTAGGACAGAAAACCATACAACTAAGGTTTTGTTGGATCATTGAACGGAACTGTCTTCAATTCCACTGTATGACTGTTCACTTTATATGCTTTAATTTAGTGATATGGACAACTGTTTCTGGGAAGATAATGTGTAGCCTGTTAACTGGTGATTTTGTACTGTATATATTTTTTTCTAGAAACACTATTATTTGTACCCTTTTACTGCATTGTTTTTTTATGTCCTTTTTTTTCCTTCTTCTCTCTTTAAATAAAAAAAAGAAACTGATTTCCATTGTCTAATGGGAACATTGCTCTTCTGGCTCCAAGGTAGATCACTGGTTTAAGAAAATATTGATCCATTTAAGAAACTATTGAAGATGGGCATGGTGGCACTTTTGTGTAATCCTAGCACTGGGAGACTGAGGCATGAGGATTGCTACAATTTGGAGGCTAACTTGGACTGCACAGTGAGCCAAGAGACCCTGTATAGAAAACAAAACAAAACAGAAGAAAAAGGAGGAGGAAGAGGAGGAGGAGGAAGAAGAGGAGAAGGAGAAGGAGGAGGAGGAGGAGGAGGAGGAGGAGGAGGAGGAGGAGAAGAAGAAGAAGAAGAAGAAGAAGAAGAAGAAGAAGAAGAAGAAGAAGAAGAAGAAGAAGAAGAAGAAGAAGGAAAGAAACAAACCGGTGAAGTCATGTTTAAGTCATTTGAAGTCCTTTTAAGGACCAAATGTAACACTGTAACAGTACTATCAAAAATGTCTAATTTACCCAAAGCATCAGTTTTCTGCTTGGGAAAAGATCTGAGAGGTTTGAAGATGAATGAACCTTTAACTGATGCGTTTCTACAAACTGAAGTCGTCTTTCCCCATTTCCAGAATTTTCTGGATACAGTATTCACTTCAACAGATTTATCACCTTCTATGTTGATATTATTTTTTTTGTATATGAGTCTCATTTTCCCTTCAAAATTTTGTGTAAGCTAGGAATTTGCCTCAACAAATCAATATGAGTTCAAAGGAGGAACAGTAACTAAGGTAATCTGACATAGAATATTTAACTGATCTAAAATATCTATGTTTCTGTAATGGCCCAATTATCTTCACACAATAGTACAAATGTTGCCAGGCCCATTTTCTAGCATTCTGTTTCAGTAACTCAAAATAGAAAAGTGAATGATTTAGCAATTTAATATGCTCATTGTATCTTAATTATCAAAGTTCTTAAAGTTTGTCCTTCCTATTATGGATTATAAGCATGCATCTTGCTTTTATCACTAATAAAGCCTTGTTTTTATGCATGTATTTGTATATCAAGTTTATTATTTTCAGCAGTTTTTAACCATTTTTTTCTTCCCCGATGCACTGCTACGCCACATTCCCACAATAATAGCTTACTGAGGCAGTTCCTGGCAAAGGAACAGATGACTTCTTGGGTGGAATGTCAGACTTTTGGGAGTGTATGCTCCCTATATAATTTTAACCATCTCATGATTGTTGTCCCCTTAGGAATCAGTGATTTCAGATATAGGGCTAAATAAAGAGAAAGCAAGTCAAAATTGCCATATAGTTAGTATCTGTCTGAGATATAACTAAAAACTTCTTCATATGAAAAATAGTTGATTCTACTCTAAGCACTGAGGCTTTTGCTTAGTGGCTACACTTGTCAACTTCAGAACTTGACATTTATTTGGAATGAATTTTTATGTCCTCCTTTTCAATCTCTTCTTACTAGTCCTCCAGTTACATTAAGTAGAATAATATGAACATTTAAGTATATACTTAATAATAGTATGATTTATTGTGCAAAGATTTATTTCCTGTTTTTAATTTTACAGTTGGTTATTTTCTCAGAAAAAAAATTGCTTTCATCCTGTGGTTCTTGATATTTTAACAGTTAAAAGTAATCTTCAGTCATGTAGATTATGTGGGAAAAATTGAGAAGGGAAAACTTTTTATATTTAGAAGATAGAATGATATATAGTATTTCTAATAATGCTAAAATAACTATGAAGCATGTAAATTCTGCTTTTGATTCATCTGGAATAAGAGACTGCAGAGACAAGATATGTGTGACAAGTTATCCTAATATATGTTCACATTCTCAATCCTACTTTGTCAAATATTACTCTCCACAGTAGCATTTCCCAAAGAAGATTAACAATCCAACCACATTTTACAGTCTAGACAAATATCAGTAAGCAAGAGCTTGTACAAATTGGAGAGTGGAAATCGGCAAACAGAGTTGAGAGCGGGACGGGCTGGGAGCCCTGCATCGACCTGCAGTGAGTGAGGGAAACGGAGACTCTTCTATGGACTAGGAGGCTCCAACAGAGGACATTCTGGGACCGGACCGACTAGCCTGAACAGGATGCTGCAGTGACTTCAGTCACATATTCCCCTCTCAAGCGGGATTAGTGGGGAGTGCCTGGCCTTGGTGACGCTGCGGACTAAAACCCAGTAGGCTAGCCCAAACCACGTTCCAGCATCTGGTGGTGCACCCTAGCAGTGAAGCCTTCAGTAGTTTGACTGACCTGGAGGGGCGGGCCCAGCAGAGGCTGCCCAGGTCTGTGTCTCCCTAGTACACTGCAGTAAGTGGTAACACTGAGCCAGCAGATTCAAACAAACTGTAACCGACACAGAAAAAAAAAAATCAACAACAACAACAACAACAAAAAAAAAAAACTGGGCCTCCTGTTTACACTTATTTGGAAGAAACAAAAAATACGGGAAGAGGGAGCAACAAGAAAGGGTCTGCGGCCCCCAATCCTGAGAACACTGATCCAGGAAAGGTAAATACAAAGGAGAATGAGGACAGAAAACATGCAGTGTCAGGCACGGCATCAATAGACCTAAAGCAATATCTCCGGAGCCTCATAGATGAGTTCAAAAGTGAAGTATTTAATGAATTACAGCAAGATATAAGTAGAATAGTTAGAGAAATGCTAAGCACTACCCAAGAAAAAAACAGACGGTGGAATGGGAGAACAGAAAAAAAGGGGAGAATTGTTTGATGAGAAAATAGAGAAAACATAGAATATGTGAAGCAGATTCAAAGAGATTAGCAGAAAACTAAAAACTATATTGAAAGTTGGCATAACAGCTTGAAAGAAACTAAAGATAGATTATCTGAACTGGAGGACAGATTTGTAAAGTGGGAGCATGAAATGAAAAACTTCTTAACAAAGAAACAAACAGCAATAACACAAAGGCTAGAAGATGATAAGAGGATCTATAACTTAAGAATTAAGAACATAAAAGAAGAGGTAGCGACACAAACAAATGAACTACAAAAGCTATTTGCAGAAATATCCAGGAGAATTTCCCTAATTTAGCAAAAGGTAAAGATACTCAGATGTATGAGGCATACAGGGCCCCAGCCACCTACAACCCAAACAGAGCTTCACCCAGGAATATAATAATCAAAATTCCAGAAATCCAATATAAGAATAGAATATTAAAAGCCGTCAGAGACAAGAAACAGATCACTTACAAGGGAACACCCATCAGAATTACAGCAGACTTCTCAGCATAAACTATCAAATCACGAAGATCATGGGGGGAAATAATTCAAGCTTTGAAAGATAATAACCTCCAGCCAAGATTGAGATATCCTGCACAACTGTGCCTAGAAATTGATGGAAAAACAAGGTGCTTCCAAGATAAAGAGGAACTAGGGGAATTTGCAACCACCAGTTCAACTCTACAGAGAATACTGCAGGATATTCTAAAAATGAAAAATACCAAGATTCCAGAAACAGTGGCAGAGAGGCCACAATGAATGGAGCAGAAAGCGAAATGAAGAACACAAACTGACAACTAATGACAGAAAAAGAGCATACCAGAAATTGGGCAGAGAAGGTTAGATGGTAGGAACAGCTATTT